GGCACTTCTCAGTTATAACATGGAGGAACAATGGAGAACAGGGAAGCATGCCTCGTTGATGCTCCAAAGTTTCACCAAATGATCGTCACTTCCACTAGCTAACTTTGTGGGATCCACACGAGAAAAGTCTACAGACCATGCCCTTTCATTATGCTCAGTCAACTGCGAAAAAGCTTGACCAGTAGACGCATCCCATAACTGAAATCATTGACAATGTCAAGAAGTTCAGACAAAACTAGTGAACTCAACACCAGCATATACAGGTCAGAGTTAATGAGCGGCAAAAGACGAGAGAAATTAAGCAGTATGTGTAATACATAATAGTCATATAAGGGTGAAGTAAATACCAGACCAAGACCAGCAAAATCAAATTGTGAGAGAAAGAGAACAGACTGGAAGAGACACAAAGTCCAGAAGACACACACAATTTATTTAAGTTGTTTAAAAAGTATATCAAAAGGCATTTTAGGAGATATGCAAAAAGAAGATGAGGTAGTTATGTCATTCAAGAGTGAACAAGAATCATGATACTGTGCATGCTCATGGTTAATATCAGAGAGACCAGAAAAATGAAAATGTGGGAAACAGAAGACAAACTGAAAGAGCAAAATCCTATAAGATCCCAATGATTAATCAACCTCCGTCAATCCCGCATCAGTTAGGCGATATTTAGATCTCAGACTTGTCTATACATGTTTTTTTTTTTGAAAGGCAACGTATTATATATAAATAAAAGACTACACAAAAGTTGTGAAGTCACCCATAATTACAAGAAGGCCTAATAAGAAAAGACACTCCTAATCCTTTGTCTTCTCATAAGGATTCTAAAACATCAAAAATAGATTCCTGATCTTCTAAATATTCTTCTTTACACCAAAAGTAAAAAAGAACTAAACATTGCATTTTCATCTTTTGAATGTTACTGTATCTATCTTCAAAGCATCTTTGATTTCTTTCTTCCCAGATTGTCCACCAGATGCAAGCTGGGACAATCTTCCATCTCTCTTTATTACTGGATAGCTTGCCTTCTCTGTTCCAACATGTTAAAACTTCAGGTATTCTTCTTGGCATAACCCACAATATTCCCCTCAAATTGATGAATATCCTCCATAATTGTAAAGTCACTCTACAGTGCAAAAAGAGATGATTGACTGTCTCGGCCTCCTCTTCACACTATACATGTTTAACTAGATTAATCCCAAATTTTAGGTAATATTCCTATACCTGAAAGAATGAAAAGCCTACCCAGGTCGCATCCAAATAGAATTAGTAACTTAACCTAGAGTACATGGGCAGTTGCAGACTCATCATTTAGAGGCCTCGTGAGACTTGCCAAAGGTCCTGTCTTCACCTTAATCGACTACATTAATCCAACACTTCCAAAGTGACTTCTCTCGTTTTCCAAGGGTCTCTACATCCTCTCTGTCTCTGTGAAATTTCATGTCCTCCACCATTTGAACCTTAAACCCCAAGTTCAGATAACAAGGGATCAATACTCGATGTTTTTTTCTACCTGATAAGAGCGATAAATGTTAGTAAATCTTGCTCATGAGAAATAACTTCCATCTACCATCATCAATTGTACACTTCTGAACAATTATCTCTTTGCACATCAGAGTAAGGATCATAGCCAACCCTCTCTCAGTTGAAACTTGAAAGTGCTCCAAATCCAAATGTATCTCTAGTGGACGGGTCAATTAATCCTCTGGAACAAGGTACATGATTCACAGGCTCAAAGTACATGTTTACAAGCTTCTAGATTGCTAGGAAAAAAGAAAATTAATAATTCCTTGACATAGAGCACATCTCATGCTACAGTGCAACTCACGTAAAGTGAAAGATGTGTGATGAACGTAAGACTTTGAGCTTGGCGTTCCATGTCTGAATGTAAATCAGACAAATAGACATCATAAGCAATAAATGAGCACGGGACAGGTTCAACATACACACAACGCAATGCTCTACCAATGCAACTGGAAGAAAACTAAAATAAAATACACACCTTAACCGCACCATCATAGTCAGTGGTAGCCAGATAGTTCCTGATATAACTGTTCCAGCAAATGCAGCTGAGCTTAGATTTGTTTGACATCTCGATAACTGGGTAATGAATGTCAACAGTATCATTAAAGAGGGCATGATACTCAAATACTTTAATTTTCTTTGACACCCCACCAGCAGCTAAATATTCCTCATCCCTGTCAAAGCTTAGAGAACAAATGACATTTGCAGAATTATTCAGATCTGCATTTCTTAATATTCCCCTTACTCTGAACTTGCTATACCGAGCATACTTGCATAAGCCATCAAAAAAAGCCCCAACCTGATCTGTGGGTCTATACTTCTCATTATCATTTCCTGTGGAGACAAAGTTCTCCTCATTATTAAAGATTTCTTCAGTTCTACGGACCATGGCAACATCATCAGAAGGCTGAATATTGGATCGCATATAGAAGTAAGCACTCTCAAGCTGCCTGATATTCTTGATCAATCTAGTTTCACTCTCACATACAGGTGGAAGCTTCGGATACGCATCTGAACTTGATACTCCTTTCTGAATAAACCTGTTCTCCCACAAAATAAGAGATTCCCGGTGTGAGGACGAACAACGGCCGTTGCTGCTTTGGCGCCTCTGAACCTCTTGGACATCTGCTTCTATACATTTGAGTTCTTCCACTAGCTTTGAGGCATCCTTCTGCTTTTGATCTTGCAGTGACATGAGGAAGTACAACAACAGTTCTGACTCAGATTCCTCTTCGTGAATAGACGACAGTGATAAATCTCCACGTAATTCTTTAATACCACCAATAACTTCAGACTGTAAAATTTCCCTGTTCCAAAGCAATAATGAGATAACTGAAGTACTGTGAAAATACTAATAAAAAAAGAAGACTTAAAAAGAAACCAGGAGGTTTCAGTACACACTACATTAACGTTTCACATTTAGAAAATCACAAATTTTAAGTGAGCAAGGAAGTTCCAATACATAGCAGCACTTCATTAAAGCTCCTTAAATTAGGGTCAAAAGAATGTAAAGAAACACAGGGCAAGAGAAGCCAGCAATCATTGTTTGAGCTCATTTCTCCATAGGCATTCACACATATTCTCAGTTAAGGAGCCACCAGGAAACAAACAGATCCAGAAATTTTGACCACCTTGTTGTTGGACGTGCTGAAGGTTCTGGATGAAGCAGCCAAAGACAAAATCCAGCTTCTTTGGGATGCTCTGACAAGAAACAAGAGGGAAGAATCCTATGGCGAAGATCCAGCATTGCAGCTGCATGAGACCTTTCACAGTCAAATGAGCTAAGCAACTGAAAGAAAAAACCTATATTAGTCACTAAAATACAGTATCAACTTAGTGCTCTAAGATACCACTTAAAAGGTGGAGAACAGTATTTTTGCTTGCTTCACTGAGCAAAAGTAGAGAGCCTACACAAGACTAAGGGCACATATGGATGTTATAGATGCATATTCTGCTAGATATACAAAGATTAAGGATGATTGTAAACTTATCTTAGAGAAAGCGAGATATACCCTAGACCTTGTTACAGAAATTACAAGAAATATTCTAGATTCTTACACATCCTAGCCAATGAAACTTATATATGATCCACCTTATCCACTACTTAAGCTAGAAATGAGCTAACTACCTCGCTCAAGATTTGACATCACATGACCCACATCGTTCTCCTACTTAACCTCTCGAGCATTTACTGGACTACTTGGATTTCTAACAAATGACAACAGAATAGGGAAAACCACCAACTCTAGAAATTATGATGAATCAAGAATGAATGTCATTGCGATTAGAGTGCTATGACTCATGCCTAAGTGATTGAACTTCCTGCAGAAATGAGACAAAAAAAATATTTTTTTTTACTAGAAGTTTATTCTCAAACCTCAAAGAGAAGAACCCCCAGGCAGTAGATGTTTGATGAAAATGTGCAGCCACCCTCACTGAACTGCTCAGGACTGGTATACCACTTCTTCTCCAAGTTAAAGCTCATGGAAGTCAGCAATGGTTTTGACATAATGGACAGTTGAGGCAATATAAAATTGTTCGAGTTGTTAAGTTCTGTCTTGAGGCAATTCTCTTCATTTGACTCATCTCCATAGCCTTGTGCAGCATTTAATTTAGTGTTTGTGCAAGCAGATTTATGGCCTGACATTAAGGGATATTGAGACCACCTCCTATTAAGGTGCGTGTCTTCACTAAGTTTTTGCTTCTTCACACAAGGATCGATCGAGGAAGAAATGCTTTTTCCGGATGAACTTCTCTCTTTCTGACTATGCTCCACCTGAGGAACACCTCGATCAATCACATTTTCAGTGGACTGAGTGCGTACAGATGCTCCAATATATACAACTTGGTTTGAGCGCAACAATTTAAAGCAAGATGGACACAAGTCTTGTAAGATAATTCCTTGTGAGTGAGCAAAATCCACCAAATCCAGAACTTGTTTGAAAATATACAAGCCTTCAGCTTTGTTCAATTTATTTCCCCCAGCTTTCAGCCGTTCTCTTAAACCGATCCCATCTTGATAGACATTGGGATTAACACTGCAGCCCATTTTGGGGATACCTTGAAAAGGTGAAACGATGGTGGAAGAAGCATTAGGACACTGCGGATACATCTGGCCTTGAGACTCACTAGCAGATACACGGGGTAACTGTTTTTTGCATATGATTCCTTTGCCTTTTAATGTGCTTTTCACAATATATTCAGAAAACCCCGACTTGGAAAAAATCTTCGTCCGGATACCCTCAGAAGAGGGTAATAAATTGTTCGAAACAGCTTTATCACCATTATTCTGCAAATTTTCTCCGTCTAGATTACGATTTTCATTTAATTTTTTCTGATTCTGATTCACAAGTCCGGTAAATAATGTGTCTCCATCTTCCCCATGTGAGCTTCCGCATGCAGATCCACCTGCTAGCTGATAAAACCACTGGTTTGGCCTAACCTGCATTATTTCTTTATTGCCCAAGGTATCAACTATAGCCAAGTTTTTCCCATTGTAGTTTCTCAGTGTCAATTCTTCAACCATGACCCCAGCATCATTCATACAACGAGGACTAGCACTTGCATGTTCAGAAGATCCAATTCTGTCCAGATTCTTACTATCGAGGATATCTGTAAACAAACTGTGAGTATTCTGGTAATGATCACCTTCACTAAGTGTGACCACTTCATGTGATTGCAGCATATTGGAGTTTCCGGACCTCAAAGTATAGTCATTCTCCTTACTTCGAAGTTGTCTACCATCAAAGGCATCCAGTCCATTCACCTCATCACCAATAGCTTCATCAACAGTTTCTTCCATAATGTCAATATGTTCTAGTTTAATCTAAATAACGCTGCAAATCAGACCTTGTCAAGGAACAGAAAATACTTGCATCATATAATAAAATAGTGAATTAATGATAACTCAAGATAAAATGTAAAATTAGAATAAGACTGCAAAAATATTTTCCTTTTTCTTGTGTTTGTCAAAAGGTGATTACATGTATGCTGTTATACTAAGTTGAATATGGATCAGATTTTTCAGAGAAGCTCCATTTAGACGAAACGACAGAAGGAAACCACTAACAGAAACCACTAACAGAAACCGCTGCCAGAAGACCTACACTCCCTGCCAGAACCCATCCCCTGACTGCCCCACTAAACTGCAGAGCATTAAAACAATCGCCGGACCAGTGGCATTGTGGCACTACACCAGATCAAGTTTTGGTCAAATTGTTGATCTTGAGATTACATGTGCATCATCAGATTGCTTCCACCAAGAAACGTCACTTATCCACCAAATAGACCGCCTTAAAATGATGCATTACTGCCATTTTATCAAAAACTGAAGCATGTGTTGAGAGTCGTGCAATCAAATGAGCACACATATGATGTGAAATTCAAAGGGTGACTTTTAAAGTGGCAACCCAAAAGAAACCTTTTCCTGACTTTTTTCTTCGAGAATCTAAAACTCATATAAAGTGGTAGGCAAGATTGTTACCATACGCAAAAAGGAGACTCGTAGAGTTGCAGCGGCAAAGAAAGCTACTAGTGGGCCCCAAATAATTCCGTGTCAGAGAATACGCTTCCTTGCTTCTACAAGTCACAGAGTAGCGGTATGTTTTTAGGGTGTTGCTAGTAGAATTGGAATGAAATTTGAGGCACTGTTAAATCAGGGTATCTGCTTTAGTATTATTTGTTTATTTATGTTTCTTTAGTTTCTAATTGGACATTTTTCTCCACGTTAACAACACAACCCATTAGCTATACAAACTTTAGTGTCTTTTCCAATTCTTCTAAAAGCTAGTTCAGGATTTCCATTAGCAAGTTACACTTCTATATTTCTTTGTCAAAACTTGAGTAGGAAACTAAGCCCAAAGCCTTTCCATTAAGCCAACATATTCACTCCCAACAACAATTCCAACCCAAAAAAGAAATTACTAAATCAATTTCATCATGCTGATCAAGAATAACAAGCAACGAGCACATCTAAGCGGATTTTTTGATAACCGAGAAATCTCCGAGAGACCGTGGCACACGGTTTGAAACTCGGTGGATAATGGGCTCATCCCTCTACCCTTCTCCACTTAAATACAGGCTTTTGTCTACGACAGGGTTCAAACCCATGACGTGCACCTAACCCACAATTTAAGCTGGGAATTGACCCTGAACACCCTAATTCTTAGTTTTCCTACTAAGCACACGCTCCACATCAACATTAGAGAAAATTGGATACACATTTTATATCAGCAAAACTATTGTCATATTAGCAAGCTTATCCAATACCTCAACACCCAAAATAGCCGAGTAGCTTATTAACTTTAACACTGTATCAATCAACTAATCCTTATCCAAAATCAGTAGGATTTTACCCTATGAACCCTCTATATCCATTCCACCGCACATAAAAATCTCATCCACTCTAATACTACTAAAAAAAAGTTTCCTTCTAAGGCAGATTAAGTTAGCTAATTATTAACAAAGAACAAAATTCGGTTTTACTTCTCTTTTCTAATTTTCTTTTCCACCGCCACAAAACAATAAACGACAAACAGTTCAATTGACAACAAATGCATTCACTTTACGGGTACTCGACCCAAAAAAAGCTATAAAACTGAAATTGAAGTGATAAAACGAATGAATCAATTGAAATAATTAGCATTAAAACGTACGAATTTGTGACGGCGAAACAATTCATTCATTCCGAAACTTAAAAAAAACTTCCCTTTTAAGGCAAATTTAGGTTAGCTAGTTAACAACAAAGAGCAAAATTCAATTTTTTCTTTCAAATTTCTTTTCCGCTGCCACAAAAACAATAAAGTACGAACAATTCAATTCACAACACATGCATTCACTTTACGGTACTCAATTGAAGTAATAAAACGAATAATTAATTGAAATAAATTTGCATAAAACTTACAATTTTTGCGACGGCGAAACGGAAATCGGCAGTGAGCAGAGAGAGTACGAAGCTAAGATTAAAGAGAAGTGGTGAATTTTGTGAGCCATGGAAAAAAAAAAGAAGAAAGGGCTTAAAAAAGAGTTTGTTTTGTTTATAAAGAATGTGTGAGAGAAAGAGAAGGGAAAGAGGGAAAAACTTATCGGACTTACCTGAAATGGCATAAGTATCTCCTGCATCTTATTGGTTGCTTTCAATTTTTTACTCTCGATAATTACTAACCACTAATTAAATGTTTTATATATTTGAGATTGAGTTTTATCAATTCACGACTAAGAAAAAAAATTATATATTTATATGATGTGATGTGTGAGTAAAGTTGGAGCAGTTGATTCAAGGTAAGTTCTTTCTAATAGTTTGTTTGGCCAAGTTTATTTTTGGCCAAAAGTGCTTTTTTTTTTATGCCAAAAACACTTTTGGCCAAAAATTGGGGTGTTTGGCCAAGCTTTTGGAAGGAAAAAAAGTGTTTTTGAGGAGAAACAGAAGCAGTTTGGAGAAGCAGAAAAAAGTAAGCTTCTTTCCAAAAGCACTTTTTTGAGAAGCACTTTTGAGAAAATACACTTAGAAGCAGTTTTTTAAAGCTTGGCCAAACACTAATTGCAGCTCAGAAGTGCTTTTCAAACTAATTAGCCAAGCATAAACTGCTTCTCACCAAAAGTACTTTTGAGAAAAGCACTTTTGAAAAAAAGCACTTCTCAAAATAAGCTGATTTTTGCAGCTTGGCCAAACGGGCTATAAGGCGGTAAGAGCCTATTCTGTCTTGCTTTCGGTAAATTTATCTGTTATAGGTTATAGATTCGATCCTTTGGGTGCGGTTATTAGGGCTGGGCATAATTTGATAAATACCGAATTACCGTATCGAAATCAAAAATTTTGGTATTTGGTATATGGTATTTTGGTATTTGGTATGGTATTTGGTTTAAGTTTTTTAAAATATTGGTATTAGGTATGGTATTTGATATTTTAAGATAAAATACCGAAACACCGATACCGTACCGAAATATATATTATATTATACAAAACATATATTATCAATTATAACATAAATATAAAAAATCTAAAATTTTACTTTCCTTTATTCTCAAAGTTCATCAATTAACTCTAAACAAGTAACAAGACACTTCTAATGATCAAATATTCTTTTATGTACAATATTCTCTATTTTGATCGATATTTGCTAGTTTTGGACAAAATTTTTGTCAACAAACATTTTCAGTTTGTATTTTTGAGTACTTTAATTAAGAATATTAAAGTGTATGGCTCTATGCACTAGTTAGTATTCAAACCGAATAAACCAAAGTTACCGAACCGAATAAACCGAAACCGAAAGGAGAAAAACCGAACCATACCGAATTTAATTAGGTACGGTATTGGTACAGGATTTTAAGAAACCGAATACCGAAAATACCGAACCAAATGTCTAAATACCGTACCGTACCGTACCGACCGACAAACACCCCTAGCGGTTATTCCTGGACAATCTGTGAATGTCGGTTGCTTCGTGCATTGAACGTTGATTTTTATTTAATTTAGGGAATCATAAATGTTCCAAATAAGTCTTAATTTACCGACTTATAGCCATTAGTTATAAAGTTACCAAAATTAGTCAATCACATATAAAATTGAAAACCCAAATAAATCAGGTTCTTTCTCTTCAAGAATCACACGCCAAAGATATCCTTTCATATTTTTATGCATGATTAGTAACATTTGATACAAGGTGAAAAAGAAATTTTATGGATGAGATAGTTGTTTGAAGTCATTTGTTTATCACTGAACAAGTCCCCCTCAATCACTGCCATAATTGACCCTCTCATCCAGATCCTCGCTTCTATAAGTCAAATCACTCTCCTCAGAAGTTTTCTCTCCTTGACTACACCCTCCTCAGCATTGTTACCTGCAGTAGATTTAACAACTAAATTTTAGTTACACATACATTGTATAAAAGTAAACATATACATTAGTAGATAAAATGTAAGTCGTAATATGTTAAGTTACTGACATATGTGTCCATCCCAGCACTTCTCAACCCATCTTGTTTGAGAAATTTTCATAAAGCTCTATCTTTTAGTGGTAATTAGTTATCTATAGATATCATTTGCTATATTACGGATTGTAGATACATTTTCTGTTGTTATAAGATGTGTTATATGTATTTAAGCTACTGTATTCATGAATACAGTAGCAAAAATAGGCGTGAACCAGTGAAGTCCAGCTAATCAGTTGTTGTATTCGAGTGTATTCGACTGTATTCATGGCGTGAAACATAGGATTACAGGGGAACAGATTATTGTATTCGACTGTATTTACGGCGTGAAACAGGGGATTACACTGTTTTTAAACGGAAAGTGAATCAATTAACATAATAGACTCCTAATATAACTCAACAAACTCAATTATAACACATAAATTTTGTATTTCCAGTTATAAAAAAGATTCTCAACCGAGAATACCCCAAAAACATAGCAATCTTCAGAGAAATTATATAATACATCTGAATACATAAACTATATTAATTAAAAAAAAACACATATGAATACATTCAAGGCATATAGCGAGACAGTGAATACAATAAAATACGTAGAATACAGCGGGATACATTGAAATACAATGAAAAAAAAGACAGTGAATACAATGAAATACATGAAATACAGCAAGATACATTGAATTACAATGAAAAAAAAGACAATGAATACAATAAAATACATGAAAATACAGCGTAAAAAGCAAGAACCAGCAACTCTTTTCATCGCAAAAACCATAAACCCAGCAGATCTTCGTCCCTCATATTGTCTTCCTGTGGCTCAAAATTCACTGTATCCAAGTTTTACTTTTGACTCTGATTCTTCATCTATTACTAAATAATAATGAAGATGAATGAGAAATGAGAAATGAGAAGGAAGGATCCTCAATTTATAGAAGTCCAAACCTTTTTCTACAAGAAAAAGGACTAGCCAAATATTGGAGATTTATAATTTCCTTTTACAATAAGGAAAACCCAGTTAAGGTAATTATATTGCCCTTTTCCTTCAAGAGATAGGAAATTCAAATATGGTAAGAAAATTATGGCAAACACTTAACAATTTGTTGTTGGGATAAACTAGCCCAAATACACTCTTAATATGGTGTGATATTGTCCGCTTTGGGTCAAGCCCGCACGGTTTTCCCCAAAAGGCCTCACACCATTAAGAGATCCTTACACCTTATATGTAAACTCCCAATCTTTTCAGCTATCAATGTGGGACTTTGTTCGCACACCCAACATTCTCCCCCTCGAACTAAGTTCCAAGTGGCCCACTACCACGATCCACGGGTCAATTTTCGATATTCACTGTGTGCCACCCACATTGTTAGAGTATTATGGCAACCGAAGCCCGCAACTAGCTTCTTCTTGTGTGTGCACCGTCCTGCACCATCACTCCGCCATCTCCATACTCGTTCCGCTGAACCTGGGCTCTGATACCAGTTGTTGGGCTAAAGTAGCCCAAATACACTCTTAATATGGTGTGATATTGTCCGCTTTGGGCCAAGCTCGCACGGTTTTCCCCAAAAGGCCTCGCACCATTAAGAGATCCCTACACCTTATATTTAAATTCTCAATCTTTTCAACTAGCAATGTGGGACTTTGTTCGCACACCCAACATTCTGGTATCTATGTATTACGAATTGCACCCATTTTGTTGCATCAGCTTTGGTGCGTTGTACTAAGAAACAAGATTTGATTATTTTATTAATTTAAGATGTATCAAAATAGAGAGAGAAAGAAAATAGTGTAACTGAATAGCGTATTTAGTGGTTTAGGGGTATGAGGTAACCAAAATTAGATATTTTACTATAAACATTAAAAATGTATCTATAGAATATAATTTTTTAAAATGGTATTTATTTAAAATAAATAAGGTATTAACATTTGCTATAGGAGGTAAAAATTCTTTGTTTTAACTTAAAAACCTTCTCATAAAAGGTGAACTCTTTTAAAATGTAAATGGGTAGATGTCAGAATCTTAAGTTAGATGCACTAATATTATAAAATAAATTTACACTATCAGTATATCATTTAATATGTGATAGCAAGTTATTTATTACTTTTTACTGAATTATCTTAAAAGTGGCAAATAATTGTGTAAATATCTTTTATACCCTTAATAATTAAACCTAAACTCTGTGCTCGATAATTTTACTGCTACAACTATGTCTTAATGTTTAATCTACAATAGAAGAGAAGTTTGAGCCAAATTCCATTTAAATTACCGCATGTGAACTATCATGGGCGGCTTTCCAGCCATGCCTCATGACCCCTTGGGCGCGCCCCGTGGCGTTCTAGAAAGTCTCCCAATGCCTAGCGCCACGGACGGCCCCATGGTCTTGGCCGCACCAAGTGACAAGCGCGCAGGTGCCTCTGTCGCCCCACCGATATCCCTCGTCACCGCCAAGCCGCAGGCAGAAGCCAACAGCGCCGCGCGCGCAGACCGTGATGCCAAAGACACTACTGCTGACAACGGACCTGCTGCTGCCTTATAGAAAACTAAGTCATTTTCATTGTAAATATAGAGTAGTTTTATTTCATGTACTTCTAATATGTTTCTCTAGCTTAGTCAAGTCTAGTCTTGTAACTTTGGATTATTTTTTTTAAGTACTATTAGGGGGGATCAAGCAATCAAAACTTTCTAGCAAGCAAGCAATTCTCTGTATTGGTGTCTCTCCCCCTCGACACCGCGTTGCTTTTCTGTAATAGCTTTCATTAATGCAATCAAGCTTTCTTTCATTCTGAATTCTCATTTCTGTTCTCTCAATTGCTCTTGACATTGGTTTTCCCGTACGGCACTGACAATCTCGTCTAGCGTACGGAGGGGACCTCAGTTGGCGGACAGCAACTGCACTGACATCAGTTGCCTAGCCTTACGTCGCCCTTCCAAGGAATCTCAGGAAGGCGCCGCGTTACATATCTCATGTCAAAAGTAATAAACTTTCAATCTTGTATCTAATCAAGCGGCTTCACTCCATTACAACTTGCTCGAGTAGCTGTTAACATAGGTCTAATTTATGATTTATCGACATGTGTTTTTGTAAATTCAAAAGGCTGAAACATGATTTGATTTATTTCATGTTATTCGGCTTAAATCTCTT